TCAGTCGGACTATAATTTTTGTTATGTAATTTGTTCTCAATTCATCAAGTTTAAATGTGATTATAAGGGAGTTACTCTGAGGAGCTCCAGTTTTATAAATATAGGTTTAGAATATCATTTTGATTCCTTACTGAATTCCAGGCAACATATTTATTTATTTTTTTGTTTGTTTTTTTGTTTTTGTGAAGGAAACAATATAATGCCTACGGATTAAATGCTCAATTTAAAAGATTGAGTAAAATTGTTTTTTTTTTTTGTTTTTTTTTATATCAGCTATTGTACGTTCCACTTTTGGACAATAATCATTTTTAACTGAGGGGCTACTCTTGGTAAGACAAAGTCAGAAGATGGTTGGGAGCCACTAATTTAAGACACAGTTGATTATATTAGCTACTAAAAAATGACAATATAAGATATCCCCAATCTCCCTATGTCAGAAATCTTCTGCTACAGGTCAATAAAATACCATCCATATTTATCTTGCAACACATTTAGGAGCAAAAACTTTTCTTTGACAAAAACACCTCATGATCCTCTTCTGCACCACATTAAAAGAGAAGAGCCCCAACTATTATCCAGTGCACTCTCTCTTGATTTATATCCAAGGATCACTGCAGCCTGAGGTCCATATTTAATTGGCCATCAACAGTTTCAGAATTCCAGATGAGCACATTCATAATATCTGCATGTATTAAAATTAATAGGTGCCTTGCCACATTTCCCACCTAACACAGTGTGATTACTGCACATTATTTTTAGATATTGGTTAATTTTGCTAGTGAACAATTTTATATTTGATAACTGAATTGAAAGCTGTATTTCAAATTTACAATAACTCAAAAATCAGTCAAAAATAGGTAATGAAGAGTGATAGCATTATTAATTGAATAGTGTAGTGATTGAGTTGCTCACTCAGTTACATTTTGGGAAAGATAAGTTGCAAGTTGTTATTTTTTTTTAAGTTGGGTTCCCAACACTCCCAGAAATCACTTGATGGAATGAAGAAAAACAAGGTTCCAATAAAAGGTGTGACTTTGACTTTCATTCTGCTGCATGTGATGAGACAAGATGTGATGGACAAAGCATCGTTGTTAGTGAGATGTTGACAACATCTTTTGTGTTATGGAGGTGTGAGTAGGTTGTGGAATACAGGAGTCTTAAGGGCACAGAAAAGTAAATACATTTTCAAAAGCTGTTACAAGGGCAGATGACCATATCAGACCAATGGGACATGCTGTGTCGAGTAACAATGGATGAGGCACAATCCGAGGTGGGTGAGAGCAAAAGAGGGGGTGTGAAAGAGTGGAGGTGACTCTGTTAAAATGCACTCCATCATCCACCAAGAAGCTCTCGAATCAAAGAGGGCATAACTTGAGGTAATGAATACTCTTGTTTAAACTTTTCATGTGATATGGGAACGAGGGCCGTACAACAGAAATTTCAAAGTTTTCTATTTGATGTTGGTGCTCAACACAGATACACAAATATGTACTGTACCATTCTACAGAAGGCTGGCTAAGACACAACGTTTTTATTACCTGAGATCAGAAATTGATTATTTGAAACTTACTTCAGGAGCAAACAGACTTTGATTTGATTAGCACACCTCTCGTTGTAATTTATTACTTATCATATTAATATACTAAACAAAAGCCTACAGGGGAATGACAAACTTGTGCCACTGCTTCTTGTGGAAATGAAAGCATTCTGTAACAAGGATTATGTTTTTTTTTTCTGTTCATCGATATTAAACAGTTCCACATGCTTTCCAAATTCAAACTTAGACTCCCATGGGGAAACTTTTTTCTATTAAGAACGATTTATGCCTGTTTCTAGTTATTTCCCATACAACTGAATTCAGTAAGTACTTTCCAGACATTTTTTGTCATTTTGTCTTACCTTTTTTTTATTAATGCCCAGGAAGTGGTAGACATTCTATTGAAATGTAGTGTAATGGTTCCTTGAAGAACAAACATCAGCTCCTTTCTCTACCTGACTTTAAAAGAATAAGGAATAGCTAAAGAATAGGGAGTCTGTTCAGCTTGATGCACATATGAGAAGAACCATAAAGACTGACAGTCATGCATGTATCTTTTAAACCCAACCCAAAAGACATTAGCATCAAGCTCAAAAAGCACATCAAAACACAACATAAACATGTTTTAACCTAAATCAATTTTTTTCTGCTTAAAAAACACCCCTTATGTGAACTATTCTGTTTAACTGAATGTACCTCAAATGGACAGTGAGGTTGGAAATGTGGCTTCCACTGTGGGGATGTTTCTGCATGGCAAGGACGCTGTTTCCATGCTGTTCCTGTGTCTTTACCTCTGGGGCAGTCATAGAAGGAGAAAGTTTCTTCAATCATATGGATATTAAATCCCAGCATCACTGGATCTCTGTTTTTTTTTTTTTTTTGTTCCTGTAGAGGCTTAAAAAAATGAAGATTACAAACATATTGTTGCTGTAGCTACCTGCACCAGTCGCTGACTGCACACAAAACAGACCTTTTGTATCTTTTGATCTAAGTGGGAATACAGTTGTCCAACATTGACAGCAAGTTACTCGTTCAAATGTGTTTCCTCTCTTTGTTGTGCTGTTGGTAGGAATCAGAATAAGAGATCAACCGGTTGGTCTTAGCAAGGCTTTTTGGCTTAAGAGCTAAAACTTGATGACCCCCCGCCTGCAGTATCTCCACAACACACTTAGGGAAGCACAGAGATGCTAAACCTCATTTATATGTCCTGGATCTATTAATAAACATCTAAATACCTTATCATCCAGGAATGCTTAAAACTGAAATTAAATTTGAAAACTTGAGGTGTAAATCAAAATATTAAAACTTCATCTCCCTGGCAAATATCCATCCAACATTTTTTTTATAGTCATCTTCTGGTCATGGTCACAGATGGCAATCTTCAGCATGAAAAGCAGGGTATACCATTAACAGGCCCATAAGAAAAATGTTAAGACTTACATTTGAGTATACAGTATGAATAAAAAAACAAAAACAAAAGAGTGGCAAAAGTAATATCTGTTCTGACACATGGGAAGCATATAAATCTCACAGCTTTTATCTCTACGATCAGAATGTGAACACATCAAAAACATCATACATACTTTAAAGACATTAAAATACCTTATGAAAAAGGCAGCAATATCACTTTAGTTTGGACATGCATAAAATATGGTTTTCTTTACAGTTGTAGCCATTAAAAAAATTTCCACCTTTTCTGGATGGGTCCTTGGCTTCTCCTTGGCTGGTTCTCTGCTGGTCCCCTACAATTCCTTTTAAAACATCAATCTTTGTACTAAAATATTCTCTCTGTCATGATTTGTGAACATTAAGATCTAAAGAGAAGCATCATTTCCTGGTCTGACCCTGTAATTCAGTGAAAGGGTGGATTCAGAGTAAAGAAATATGCAAGAGTGGGTTAATCCAATGGCTGGAAGTTGTAGGGGATTTTACAGGGAGCTGCAGGGAGTGGGCTGCCTTTCGGCTGGTGTTTGACTGGGAGGGGCCATTTTTAATGGTTGCTACTGTAAGTCTCCATACCAGTATTGCTTTGCACATATGTTTGATGACAAAGTATAAAATCCTTTTCAAGCATGAATTTTCAAACTAATAGCCGCTATTCTGGTAGCATCAGCAAGTATAACAGTTGTATAAATATACGCAAATAATCTAAGGGATATTTTTCAAACAGGTGTGATAAGCTAAACAATATATTGTGTTCTTCACTAGCTACATAAGTGTGTATAATGCTGTAATCCATTACAGGCCAGCATTCCTTTGCTTGTATGTGAAGTGGGCTTCACATTCATATAACTACTCTGACCAGTATCTTGTGCACTGTTTTAAAGAAACTACCACAGAAACACATGAAGATTGTGGATTACAGGTTTCACTTGAAATGACAGCCTTATGTGTCTTGCTGTATCACCACCCAAAGCAGAACTTTTTTCAGTGGCTTTTTTTGCTTGCCTCAGCTATAATAAACTTTCCAGAATTGCTCATTGGGGCACTTAAGCACTTTACACACCCAGTCTCCCAGCAGGGGCAGTGATATACAATAATGTGTTAAGTTCAACTTATAAATTTAAATTCAAAAGAATTTGACATGTTTTCCTTCAGGATTTGTTCACATTGTTTCATATAAAATTTGTCAGCACAGTCATTCTGTAAGTTCTTTAAGTACAGCTTTCTTATTATACCTGTGGTAAAAAAAATAACTTAATGCACTTGTATCACTGAAAATCACTATTCCAGGGGTAATTATAAAATGCCCTTCCTGCTGATACTCTGTCATCTAGCATTTCATCCTGGGGGCTACTTTCTCGATTTTCCATCTCTTATTCCACATTCATTCCTTTTACTCCATGGAGAAGGTTCCAGTTGGTGGCCTTTCTCTAGGGTGACTGATAGCAGGTCCACAGGCAGACTCATCCACACTTAATTATCCACAGGTTCCTCCGAGGGTTAATGGGGAGAGGTCTGAGAAATGTCCACCATCGAATCCTCTCTTCCGCTCTTGTCCAGGACTGCTGAGTAGACTAATAAAGCCAGACTAAAACGGAGCTGTCTACTTCCTCCTGGTTAAATAACACAACTACTTTCGGTAGAGTCCACTTTAGAATATTATTTTGCACAAACACTGCTCAATGTTTATCCATTTTTAACATCATATTCATTCGGACTTCATACCCACTCCTTGTTGGTTGTTTTACAGCAGCAGAATTTCAAACACACATAGCTGTTACTCTAACATTTTTAGACAGACCAGCGGGCGCTCTGATTGGTTATGGTTCGGCTTCAGTGCCTCTGGGTAACAGCGTTTGTCATGCCAGACTCCCTGAGTGATATTACGAAAACATGGGGATTGCGAGAAAATTTGAAATCGAGAGAGCCTAAATTGTATTTCTCAACAGATGCCCTTGAAGTAGCACATACAAAACACCAAGATCAGTTTGAAAATTTATTTTTAATATAAAAAAGACACTATGAAAACATTAGAGGACTACTTTGTACAATCTTATGTATAAAAAGAACAAAATGGAGTGAGGGGTTGTTAGTAAGAAAATCAGCTGGAATGTTGGATGTTTCTAGATGAATCAAAGGCTTGCAGGTAGGACAAGATGAAAGGTGAGCTGTGAAGGTTTTTGAATCGACTTTAACTTCAGTTGAAAATTTGCCTTCTGGTGTGTCATGTCCCCTAAAGACAGCTGATTATGGAAAGCTTTTCGAGAAAACGGAGTGTCTCTAAAGGTTGAAATGGTTTCACCTAGAGTTATGATAACATTACAGCACATTTTAATAGAAATGTAGAACAATGCATGACAGACTTTATAATCAGTCAAGCAGTATATAACTTTACTGTTCTTGACATAAAAAATTAAAACCAACCATCAATTAGTGTGAAAGTATCCAGATACAAGATGAAAAATAAGGCTGATTGAAAGAAATTCTCTTACAATGCCGAAAGCAAACCTGAACACGTCTCTTTATCTGCAGGTCCCATTACCATGGGAAAAAGACTTTATCCCCCCCCCTTTTCATTTGATCTGTTTAAGAGATACAAAAAAAATGTACATACCGAGGAGTAATAGCTACGGAGTTTGGCCTTGAAGCTACCAGATGGAAGCTTTGTTTTGTGGATCTAGATCCAATGCTTCTCAGGAGATCATCGGAATGTGACCTTACTTTGGCAACTTGGGATCAAATCAGTCTTCCTCCTCAGAGAGAGGTGGAGCTGTAGGCTTGCCTAACAGCTGATTTGCTTGAAAGGTTAGAGGGGCGCCACTCTTGTCTTGCCATCTGCGCTGCGCTGCTCTACCACCACATTAGGGAGCCTTAAGCAGATGGTTTGAGGGCAGCACTGGAAGATGTCAGGGCAACTTACCATCCTCTGGATAATTACTGTTTTAAACGCTTGCCTTTGTCTTCATCAATGCCTGTTTTGAGATTTTAACCAGCATTATTTGGAAATCTATCTTGGCCACCTTTTTTTGGACATTCCTCAGAAGAATTATCATCTCCCTCAACACTTTCTAGGTTGAACTAATGCAGCAATAATAAGAAACCAGCAGCTCTCTTCTAATAACCCCAGTATGGGCATTAGAATCATTCCAAGTGTACAATTTAGTTCCTCTTTATTCTGAACTGTCTTTTTTGTGCTCTCTTTTTGCAGCTGCTGTGCTCACAGGCCCACAGATATAAACACAAAGTGTTGAACCCATAGAAACAAGTAATTATACATTTGGCCTTGCTGCTTGTTGCATTAAGATTTCATGTTTCTGAGTTCTGAGCAGGCGATATCAAGGAGGTAGAGATAGTATACCAAAGAAAATCATAGGGTTTTTAAGCATTTAAAAAGATTTTGTATATAGAAAATTATTTTTTATCTGACGCTAATGAGTTTTCAGTCAGCATGAGTCCTATCTTTTAACTCTTTTTATCCTTGTTTTTAGTATCACAGTGACAAGATAGATTGATCCAAGCAAACTTCGAACCAGGAGAAACTAAGTGGATGCTAAAACTTTTAAGACTGTTGTTTTTCTCTTGTTTTCTCTCTTAATTGTCTCAAAATAATGTATTACTCTCAGCTGATAAAGCAAGCAAAGTTGCCTTAGCGTTATTGGACAGTTATTGGACTTCATCTACCATGGGTCTCTTTAACAAAAAGCATTTGAAAGCTGTATATTTCATTGTGTTATTTTTGATAATAAAATGTGTTTGATAATCTGAAAAAAATGGTGTGACAAGAAAACAATGCAGAAGAAATCTGCAGGACATCTAATACTTTTTCATAGCTCTGAAAAAGAGTTGTACCTATATTGGACCCATGTTGGCTAAAATTTAATCACTGGCAATATTTGATGGAACCACAGTGACTCTTGACAGGTGTTGGTCATTTTGCCCCTTTGCCATTTAGTACCTTTGATATTTATCAGGTATAAGTCTATGCCTTTCACAACTAGGCCTTAAAACAATCACACCAGCTTTTATACCCAACAGTCATTTTTCTTGTTTCTGCTTTGATAACTGCACATTTGAAGTTTTTTTCTATATTCAATTTATATTCCATCTTATGGACTCAATAACTTCAGTGACGTGTGGCCCTTAGAACTTTATTTTTGCTTGTGGCCCTTTAGATATATTAAAATGTCAGTCGTAGCAAAGTCATATCATGGGTCAACTGTCCAAAATGGGGCACTGCTAAATAAATAATTGGAAAAGAAATTGACAAGAATAAAGTGTAATAGAAACTTTCAAGACACTTGTATATAATTTGATTGAGCTATGACTGAAATGTTTACATTTTTCTGATGAACATTTATTTTGAAAATTCACGAAAATACTTCAACAAAAATGATCATATGCCATGGTAAAATACATTGGTAAGAAATGTTTTTTTTTTTTCCTTTTTTGTATTTCATGTAAATAGAAAGTAATGAATTGATGATTCATAGCTATGAAAGGGGGGTACAAACTGGCAAAGGGGCGATTAACCGAGAGCCACTCGCAACAGCTCAAATCATGCAACCCTTAAACTTAAAAAAAAAGAACAACAAAGAGGCTACAATCTTTATGACTGCCATATCCTGTTAAAATGTCATCTCACTTTCATGTGCTCTGGTATATCAAGGCATTTAAAGTTTTATGTAATTTAAATCTCTTCATACATGAAAAACCGACAAAAAAGAAATTGCAGACAGCTCAAGCATGTATCAGTAGAAATAAATCAGCTGATCATAAACAGACAGGGCATTGAACAATAAATCTATGGAACAAAAGTGAATTGGTTGTCATTTGTTGGCCATTTTCAAGTGACAGAGCAGAGGGGAATGATCCTTCCTTTCAATAACAATAGAAAATGCTAAAAAATAAAAAATAACATTAGGTAATGGGGTGTCAAAGGAGAAAGTGGGTCAAGAAGAAACCAGAACATGAAGACATGTAAGAGAATGGCACATAATCTGTGAGCAGCGCTGTCTCTCCCTCTCATACCCTATTCCCTCTTGACAAAAAGAAAGCAAACATATAGGAAAGATTAAGTGACTGGATACTTTCATCATCCATTTAAAAGAACAAGAAAAAAAGGAAAGTAGATTGCCTTGGGGTTCTAGGTGAAATCTTCCCCTTGCTATATAAAAAAAGAATAAGAGTGCAGAAATATTGTTATTTTTCTCTCCCGCCCCAGACCACCCTTCCCAGGTCATCATCAAACACTTGTAAGACGTTTTCTTTTTATTTTAAGAATAAAATTGAGACCTTTTATCTCAGAAATAATGTTTTTTTTTATCCTTTATGTTCATTTAGTGACATATCTTTCCGGCCCCTGTTCTATGTTCCCCCCAAAAGTCTTTGCGAAAATAGAGCGAAGAACGGTCTTCCTTTCGTATATGTCCTCAGCAGCTGTAAACAAATACAGTATGGGATCCATCAAAGCACACTGCATGAGGCAGGGAGCAGAATGTCTGAGATCCTTTGCAGGAAATCAAACCTACATATATATTTTTTCCGGGAGGCTTGCGTCTATGTGTGTTTGTATCTCAACATGAGCTTAAGTCTGTGATTAAAGAGAGCATGAGTGTCTGCGTGTCTTCACACTTCCGTCTGGAAGTCTCCCTCAGATGAGTCCGGTGTGTTCGCCGAGGAAGAGTCCCATGTCTTATTGTGCAATTCTAGACGGTCTTTCTGCTCCCCAGGCACGATAGACAGCTCAGGGGTCATAGTCTTGAAGGTTTCCCAGGAGCTCTGGTCCTCTGGGTTGGACTTGTCCTGTTAGGAGAAGGATGACAATGGGAAAGGATCAATGTTAGGTAAAGATATTGCTGTGGCATGGATCCGGTAAATGCAGACACGTTTTTCTAGTATAATTTCTTTTTAATCAAAACCACAATAGACGTTTGAGTAAATTCCTTTTTTCAGAATTCAGTTTTTGGAGGCTGATTAGTGACATTGCTGTTTTAAAATCTCATCCAACTTTCAGAACCAAAAGCAAAAAAAAAAAACTGCAAAACCAAACTCTAATGGAAAAGCATTTTTGACTCCAAACTTTACCTGTGAAAAGATCTACTCTAAAGTTACATACTGTATCATCAGCATTGTAACTTCAAGCAGCATTAATAAGATCTTATTTTTAAGATATCAATCCTATTTCTATGTAACAAGATAGTAGTCAATGTTAATTCCCATTGTAGTTTGTTGAGAAGAAAGGAGAAGTGTTGCTTCCACAGTTTCGTTGTGAAGCGAGGTATGATTTTCTCTATTTTGTTGCCAAATGGTATAATCACTTCACTGTAAAAAAAAAAAAACAAAACAAAAAAAAAGTGGTGGAATTTGCTGTAATTTACTAGTGAATATATTTGCCAGAAATTATCTTAAAAATACAAATCACTTTGTATATCACAGCTAAGCAAATTCTTAATCATGAAAAATGCGATCCTATTAAGCCTTAGATTAGCATCAAAGGTATTAAAATAAGCTTATTACAACAGTTTTTTCAGTAAAACTGATGATTCATACAAAAGACAATATTTTTTCTAACTGATTAATTTTATTTTTTCATTTTTAGACAACTTATTAACGTTAAAACAAACATTTTTTGGATATAATAATTTCTTAAGAAGCAACATTTGTTCAATGGCTTTCCAATATGGCTTTCTAAGATATATAATATCTAATATTATATGTAAACTGTAAAAAAAAAAAAAGGGAACATGTAAACAACACAAAATAACTTCAATCACATCAAACTGTCCTCCTAAGCCGCTGTCAAACTTTGAAGATTTAGACCAGTGTACAGTATGCCTGATGTACAAAAAATCTGGCAAACTGGCATACTTTGGATAAGTTATGGGTCAGTTTTGTGTAAGTTTTGAGCACGCTGAAGCACACTGAAGCAAGCTGGCAGATGTCAACATACGGCAAATATGCATGCTATACTTGGTCCATAAGGTTAGAGGTAAGTTATTTGATCGTTAACATACGTTAAGAGTAAGTACTTATAAGTCTTGGTGTCTAGCTTATCCAAAACCTATAAGTAACTTATGCACAACTTATTCGTAACTTATCAAGAACTTATCTCTAATGCATATCAACCTATTTGACGTGTTCAAAATGACCACTGAACGTGTTTCTGACTTACGGCTACTGTATAAAGGCATATTGGCAGCGTTTTGGTATACAACGCTACTTCCTAGCAGACATAACGCTGAGTCTGTTGCGACTGCAAACCTTCTTTCTTTCTTTTTATTGATTTATTATTCTTTTATTTTTATTTTTTTGCGGGCGGTAAATACCAGCTAGGTTAAATCAGCAATCAAAAAAATATTTTTACGAAGGCTGGGCGCCTCCGGGCCATTGCTGCCCCCCACAGGACACTGGTTTGTGACATTTCATGGGCATTATGCTGCCATGCATTATGCATAACTTAGGCTGGTTCTGCAGGTGGGGACCACAGACAACTACTCAGCACCTATGCTGATGTTTTGGTCACTTTATAATGTTGGTGGTGCTTTCACACTCCTGGTAGTATAAGACGAACTCTACAACCCACAAAACGTGACTCAGGTAGTGCAGCTCATCCAGAATTGCACATCAATCCAAGCTGTAGCAAGAACATTTGCTGTGTCTGTAAGTGTGGTGTCCAAGCAAAATACTTAAAACATTTTATAAATGCCTTGTATGCATTTTGATGTAAACAAAATGCACATTCACTATTTTTCTTCTTCTTACTGGGATACACCAACTAAGACTAAACATTCTTAATTTTCCTTTGTAATTTCTTTATGCTTAAGCTTGCCAGATATATGTGTCTAAACAATTACAGTCGACATTAAAAACTACATTAAATGTACAATCATACATTCAATAAAGAACCAGTTCTGTTTTTGATCTAAAGTTAAGCCTGCTTTGATGCTCTTTGCTTGGACAAACTAGATAAAAAGCAAAAGGAAATTGCCAAGATGGCGGTTGAAGCTGATAACTGATCCATTGCACAAGGTAAAAGGCCATTCGGAGAACAGAAAGCCATTCGGCTAAAGACAACATAAACAGCAAGATTACTGTTTGTTAATTCACTTGAATATAGAGACCTGTATTTCTAATAATTTGTATTTCTGTTCGTCTCACATTTAGAAAAAGGGGGGAATTGTAATGGTAATTTACCAAAAGAAGGATATATCTAATTGATTTTAATTTTAGTTAAAATAAAACAGAAGTTAAAATAAAATGATGATATGTATTAATATACAAATAATTTTAAATTTCATAGGCTTTTTCTAAATTCATTCCGTTAGTTCACAGCCCAAGGTAGCTATGGATCAGAACAGCCTAAGACAAAACTCTTAATGCTTAAGAGGTACACAGTGCAACAAGTTGCGTGGTTCAGCTATTAATTTGCAACCTGTCTACATAAACTGGTTTTTAGCTAAACAAATTCATGAGTAGAGAGCACAACTGTATTAGTTCTCCAATTTCTTCTCATGGTAACTCCCTGCAGCTTCTATTATTTTGCTTTCTTTAGATCCATTTTTCATAATCCTTTTTTTTTTTTTGCTTTACTGCAGCAACTGCAAAATATTCACATGTAACTCATTTTGAGTTATTTTCACCCTGTGTTCCAGTCTATCTCCTCATTTGGCATGCTCACACAACTCTGTGCTCTGCAGCAGAGCACAAGCCCCCACCTTCCTATCCTGCCATCCCCCCACCCTTTTTTTGAGTGTGTGATGATTGTCAGTGAAGCGCTAGGGGGCAATATCTGCCTGATTATCATTCTTCCCACATCATAGCCTGACAGTTTGTAAAATGAATACAAAAGGCATAATCTGGAAGCCAATTTGCATGCTAAATGCTGGCGAAGGAACATTTTGTAATGCAGGCTTGTTGGTAATGCTGCAGTTAAGCCGAACTTTATTCCTGGGAGGCTATGGCTGACGCGATTGTGCCTCTACAGCGTGTGTATCTATTCCCCTTTGCCATTTCTGCCTGTCTTCATCCCTTCCTTGCCACAAAACACCAATCTCATCCTTCCTCTTTTTACCAGAAACACACTTTTCTTACAATCAATGAGTTATTTTCACCTCTGGCAAGCAGAATGTTCCATCTCTTTTTCCTCTGTGGTAAGGAAATGAGTGGGAGGGGACAAGGTGTAGGGGTGAGAGAAAGAGGAAGAAAGAATGGGAAGTGAGGGATCGCAGTCACTGACAACTCTGCCTTAGGACAATAACAGTGCTCCTACACCTTAATCAGGTGAAGAGGCAGTTGTTGCTTACTGCTTTCCCCTTAACCCATCTCCCCATCTTGCTACCTCTAACATGTGCACATACTCGCACAGCAGGTGAACATGTACTGCAGCGCTGTAGCGAGCTGTATCACCAATTCTCTTTGCAAATGTCTGAAATATTCTTAAGCAGGCTGTATTTGTATTTTCCATGTGTCAGAGCTTTACAAAAGTTTCCACACCCCTTAAACTTTTCCAAAGCTTGTCACCAAACAAGTCATAAACTTCAGTTTATTTCATTGCGCATTATTTGCTAGAATACATTAATATATCTGAAATTCTAAAGCTTCTTTTATAGTTGAGTTACAGTTGCTCGCAATCAATGTAGAAAACACAGTAAGTACATGAAAGAGCGGGCTCTGGTCAGATCTAAAGAATCAAATGGAACTATTTGAGATACAAAGCTACAGTATGTACTTTATGAAGGACAACTAACAATGGGTAAGAGTAGGAACAAACTAGGGTTATGGTCACAATTAATAATAGTGGTGAAAAGATCATGCTACTATTATTACCACATGAACTACTTGAATTTCACTTTGGGATTAATATACTTTTTTTTTTTATTGAATTGAATTAAATGCTCTAGAAATTCAATTTTTTTCCTTAATGACTGTTAAGCTGCTCAAAGTTAATGCAAAAATAGATGAAGCTAAGTACACATTAATATCATGAGAATATCCACACAATACTACAATAGACGGGGTTGGAGGTTCCCTTTACAACTAAAAAAGAACCCCAAAATTTACATTCAAAGGTACAACGGAATAAGCTAGAACAAAACGTTCTCATGTCTTAAGATTACCCAGGCAAATTCCAGACTTAAATTTGGATGAGAATCTGTGGGAAGAACTGCACTTTGTAAATTAATTTGTATTTTACTAAAATTAAAAACTTTACAAAGGGGGAGATAGTTGGACTGTACTTGCATAGTATGTTTTTATGTAAGGGTGTTCAGTTTAGTTTGGTTTAGGCTTAATATCATATATAAAGAAAAAGGCTAAGGCACAAGCCTGCCTTCTAACAACAAAGTTAATCTACACTTTACTTATAATATTTTTTAAATATAATGTTTTGTACAGCTTTTTCTAAACCAAGAAAGAATGTACATTAACTCTCTGACTTATTGTGAGGTGAATATTTTACTCTCTAGATTGGAGAAGGGCTTCTGGATAGTAGTGATTAATTTAGTTATTTCCTTATTCACACAGTGATATAGGGAAGCTGCAATATAGCCACAGCTGCCCTGGGGGATACTGACATCCACACACTGTCATCCATAGGTGCCAGCAGGCCCCCTGACCACCATCAGTAGGCAAAGCGGACAAAATGTCTTGCCCAAGGGGACAACCAAAGAGGTGGATGGAGCTGAGGTTCGAACCAGCAACCCTCGATTTGCATGACAGATTCCTGCATCCGTTGTCACTCCAGGCTTTAGATGTGCAGAGCTTGTAGACACAGAACCAAAAAGACTGTAGACTATAACTTCAGTGACAGGAGGTCTACAAAGCACTAATTAATGGAGGGTTGAGGGAAATAAAGGTGTGTTTGTGAGATTTTTAGAATACTTTTCGCTTTCCCTCCATTTCACACACAACTTTCTAGATGCATGTAAAGTAAAATCTAAATTAAAAAGGAATCTGTGGCAGACATAAAAAAAACATCTAATGGTGTAACTTGACTATGAAGAAAAAGTCTAAAGCAGAGTGAAGATCTCAGAACTGATTCTTGCAAAAAAAATAAAATAAAAAATACCACTTTCCGCAATTTCTCTTGCAGAAAACTGTGGGATACCAGACACTGGGGGCACTGAGCATCTGAGAGGAATGGACATGTTTATAAACTAAAAAAATATCTATTTCATAAAGTGTTTAAAAACAAATTTAGCTCTAAAGTTTATTTGTGTTCCCTGATATGCTCATTGCAATTGAATACCAAAGTTTTTTATTTGAGTCCCTTCATGTCTGCTAAATAATAGCTACACTGTTTTAATGAGCCGACCAAGCTAAAAAACAAGGTTGTACTTATCTTAGATATTATAAACAATAACAACAATCTGACTCTTGCAAACAATCTGATTATTGCAAACCATGAGTATTAGTTAACCAAATAATATTTAGTTTACTTCCTTGGATTTGCACTATGAATTTATTTGAACAGATTCTAAATGCTTTAAATTTGTTAAAATCCAATTTGATCTCATTACAAACTCTTTAAGATAAAATTGATTCTACAACATAAAATTATGTCGAAGTGTTATATCATTGCATCCTTTTATTAATCTTGGTTTTCAATCCTTTTTCATTCATTTTTCCTTTGTCTACATAGTAGCTTAGTTTAGTTTAGCTTTACTAGCTTAGTCAAGAAGTCAGACAATTATGTCTGACTTGGAGTTGAAGGATTTTTTTAAATAAAATGCTATATTTTGAAATAAGGTTGTGAATGTATTCCATATCTGTGCATAGTTAACTGTCTGATCATGATTAGAACTCGATTCACATTTTCATTTGTTGTCCTTACACACAGTTATATGGGTTTGTGTTCACAGACTCATGACAGTCGAAGGTTATTTGATCAAATGAAATATTTGCGCACCCCCTGAAGGTAGGCACTGAATTTAAAAAATATTGTATAGCACTACTGTAATTACTCATGCAAAGACATTCTGTTTGTATTACATGTACTATTGATTTAGAAATGTAAATCCTAAAATTAAAGAAGAAAGTTATACAGCCTTTAAAGTGACTTTAGAGACTCCATGTCCCCCTACTGGTAGTAGCATCCCTAGGTAAGATTAAAACAAAGAAAAATAAAGGAAATTAAAAGTAGAAGCTGCGTCTAGTGTTTTAGTTCTCTTGGCAAGATGGCTTATGAGCAATTGTGATCATCCTAGAGTTATTTTTACTCATCAAAGCCCAGTTTTTTTTGTTTTTTTTTATGAGTATGCTCCAATTTACTAATTTCTGTGTGTAATATTGACCACATTCATTTTGACCCTTTTAGGTTTTTGTAGTAAAAATGTTTGAAAAATAAAAGACTAAAATAAAATAAAATCTAAAATCAGATCTAAAATGATATTTGAACCAAATTATAAGTAAATCCTCTAATATGTTAGATTTAATAAATAACTTGTCACAATGTGTATTTAAGCTGGACAATTTCAGACAATGAAGCTTCAACACTTATTTAATGTCTTACAACTTTCACAATCAATGTTTTTTTTTCTGTTTTTGCAGTGCATATTTTTGGTGTAACACTTAGGGATATTGTCAGTTCACCAAATTAAACATTAAACAGATTAAAAGCAAAACAAAAGAAAGTCACATAATTGATAAGAGATATGTTTATAATGTAATTTCAAACAATACAAACCAGTTAATTCCCCCAGGGCATGTTGACGGTTGAAAATGATGGTATAACCAAAAAGAATTGCACACTTCTATGCAGCACAGAACCCATTTACCCATTTTTGTTATTGTCATTTGCTGAAAATATGCACATAGTCTAGCGGATAGTAATCCTCATAATGACTGCAAATATCATAAAGAGATACATAACATTACAATCAAATTATTAAAAGCTGTTTCTACAAGCTTCATCTAGAGTATCATAAGAAAGACCCAACCTTAGCCACCTAAATTCCACTTAATTTGAACTACTGAAGCAAAAGTCATGTCTGGACGTGGTTGAGCAATGGGACTTCAAGAAATGATGGGGTTAGGAAGGTGGTGAAGGGGTTAAGTGGGGTTAACTTTACCTTTGTTGACTTGGATGCCCATGGTGCTGCTGACTGTGTGGCTACGATCAAACTGCGACATGACAAGCATGCAACACAAAGGCTCAGTCAGTGAAAAAAGCAAATGAAAGTGCAAATAAAACAAAGAATAAGAAAATAAGATATCAATAGTATAGCAATAAGGGATACCAAAATACATCTGCTATGATATTAAAAACAAACTAATCACATTCAAACACAAACAAAATGAAAGCAACATCTAGAATAGAGGAGAAGACTGAGAGGATGCCAGAACATTGCAGTCACATCTGAATTGTGAGATGACTTTGGGTCTGTTTCTATCATTGTTTTTAATAATGGCATTATTTATTAAGAAGCACAAGAATAACAGTTTTGCACCATTAGCCAACTTAGCTGGAAAGACATCTGTGCCAAAAATAATAAGGTCTTTAAAAGGACCTGAATCTGTTGGATCAATCTGGATCACAAATTAAATTAGTACAAAACATTGAAATCAGATAAGCAATTGGCCACACAAGCTCTGTTTGTCACTGTCTGGCCCTATGCAATCCAAGACCAGCTTTCTAAAAAGAAAGCAGCTCCATCTGGTGATCAGGACCTTTTCACCTCTTTTTAATTGGCCCAAGGACAGTAAATGAGCTAAATTAACACTGTGGCTATCGGTGCACAAAGCGGATGTTAGGCTGGTTCCGCCTGGTCTTCACGTCCTTTCATTAGGAGTCCATGCTAAAGCTAGTGTGCTAAGGCTACACTCATGACTGCCCTCAGTTTTCATGGGTAATTTGTGTTGAGGGATATAAAAAACAGCTGATGGGTTTATACACTGCATAGAAAAGGGGCAAGGAAATAATTAAAAACAAGCTAATGAGAGGAATTAATTATTCAATTATTGCCTCAAACGTGCCGCTGAGAGCTGAGGTTGGAGGGAGAAATGGATAAATGAGGGGAGACGCCAAGACTGAAAATGTCAAGCTGTGAGAACGAATAGAGAGGGGAATGAGATATGAAGAGAGAGAAGAGGGCTGGACTTGCTTCATTGCTGGTTTGTGAAATTGAAGCCCCTCAGCTTAATGCCAGCAAATTGACTATCAAGACTTAGAGCAATTTGCATATGCTCACAAGCCTCTAAGCACATCAACAAAAAATGGCGTCTTTATCATTGAAAATAATACATCCTTATTGTACCTGCTATATTCAACAAATGTTACATGGCACCCAAATGAACAATACAAGAATACCAATAACAGCCACTATTGGTACCTGTGGATGTGCAAAGGCCAAGCCTTACCACTGTCAAACACTACCTAATAAGCAATTCCTTTAGGAATACCCATATAAACACAACATTTAGTGTTTGAATTGCCAAAAGTATTAAGGGCACCAGTAATTATTGATTTAGGGTTTTCCAATTATCTCGATGTTCTCATATGTGAAAAATTAGGTTACTGGGTTTGTAGAATATACCTTACAAAATGTGATACAAATAATTTTCTTTCAGGAGCAGCATGAACTCAAGTCTCAATGTTAGAGAATTAATATAAGAAAACGTGTATCCAGATTATGATCTGGATCATCACCAAACTGTAATGGATTGTTTCCTTGGCATCAGGGACACCTCTGATAAAAAAAAATAATCAAAACCCCTCTATAACTTTTCAAGTTATCCTGTACACAGACAGACAGACAAGCACACACACAAAACTCTCCTCAAAACATAACCTTCTAATAAGTAAATTGCCAAGTCATCACGAAGTGGGGCATGAATAACAGCAAATCAGATGAAGTTGTAGGCCACATATAATCTTTAGATTTAGATTAGCTAAAGAACACTGCACCCTAAAAACAAAAAAAATACACTATTAGATTAAGGTATGTGAATCATTCCAGCAGTGGATCCTTGGTCGAAGGAGAAATGTCCTCAACTGATTTTTTTTAAATCTGTTATCTAAATAGGTCTTTTTTTTTTTGTTGTTGCTATTTTATTGTTTTTTTTTATATAACAAGTGTTTGTGATTTGGTACCTTCAAAAGCTAAACCTGCCAAAAAAACCCAAAAAACTTAAATAGTTAGTTTTATGGGCTTTTGCTGCCTGAATTTATGCCAGAAATTTGACTGTCCTGCAAAAGTAATTTGCAATGTGGGTAAATTCACACAGCAGGCAAAGGCTCCACTAAATAATCAAATCTGCTGGATGGTGGTTTCACGTTAACATGGCAGATATGGAATTACGGAGAGAGTTGCAGTTGGGGAAACTGAGCAAAGCTGCCACCATCGATGTCCCTGGGTCCACCAGAAATGCTTCCAGTTTCGGGGAGAGCATGCAACTTGTCAGTGCTAGTTAGTGGATTAAAGGAGTACAGCGGTGCATCGAAGCAACCAGTCTGGCAGACAGAGCCACAGAGTGGGGAGAGAAGGCAGCGAAATACTGGTGCCTGTACAGGAGCTAAGCGAGGACAATTAAGAGTCCTTCTAAGGCTACATTAAGATGGCTTTTTTAAAAGCTGCCTACAAACATCTTAAGAGCATTGCCTACCTAATTCTTTTTCCGCAATTTTTCTATCTTCCATTTTGTTTATAAACCTCATCTCCCTACACTCCCTTCACTGTAGGCCAAAGCCACATCTACATGTAGTCCCTGATTGTTTTTTGCAACGCATTTATGATCAAATGTTTGGATTTTTCAACTCTTGCATATTTTTCTGCCATACTTCTAAGGGGTGATAGCAGTCTTTTTTATCTAAATCAATCAAAAACACACCATTTACCTCGCTCCAGACCTACCCTCTGGTGTGTATGCACCTTTGGTGTTGTAGACGTATTCTTTGGAGCAAATTGTTGGAGGACAGCAGGCACATAGCATCTGAGGACATGCGAGATGCCCTGCCACTAATTTTTGACCTGGCATTGGGGCAGTGGCACTGCATCGGAGCGGGTGCCAGACAGCATGCCACTGATTTCCATGACCTGCCACAGCACCAGAGCAGGTGCAAGACACCCTGCCACTGATTTCCATGACCTCCCATGGCAACAAAGTGGGTGCCAGATAGCCCCACTTTCCATTTTGGCTATTTTAAGCCACGCTGCAGCAGATTGGTGCCAAAAATGACTTTTGAAGGTAGAGTTACATTTCCCAAAGTACTTCTTATGGACAAGGGAAAACAAATTAAAACCCCTCAGGCCAAACAGAAGTGGGAGGGAGATTACCATGACAACTCTCCAGCTGAACTTTTATTTTTTGTTTGTGAACATTGTTGATTTGCAAAATCTCAAGGTTTTTGCAATGTTTGAGGAACAATAGTTACTAATCCTGGCAGGTTTGTCAGTAATAAAGTTATCGCAGCCAATGTAACAGTAAACACTTTCTGTGTTTACCATGGCATCTTCTCCCATTCGCTGGTATCTTTGTGGCCAGGGAATTCTACCGGGTACCAGCATGTTTTTAAATTATTTTCTTTTTCTGTAACAACTTACAGTAAGCTCTCACACTGTATAATAAACCAACTGTTCGTGAAGTGAGTCTTTGCCATCCTTTTAGCATGTAATATACATAAGGACATATAGTTTACATCTGAAGTATCTTTATATTTTGGGTCCAACCCTAATAATATGAAAATGACACCCTCAATTGAAAGTACTTATTTATTAATTATTTACCCAGTAACACATAACTATCCTGACATCCCGTTTGCCAATAATCAGCTTTGGTTCCATAAAAAGAGTAGCAGCTGTCGAGGGATGTTGAAGGCTTTTATAGCTGATTTAGCATCTTGTTACCATCCTGGCATCCTATGGCAGTATCGCAGCAACTTTGTGGCACCAAACAGTCACTGACTTAATAAGTGTGCCAGTGTATTTCCACGTGATTTTTTTTCATATCATCACATTATTTTTTATTATCACGAATCACACCATTCACACAAACAGTAACCTTATAACTTTTTTTAATTAAATTGTTTAAAATGTAAATTAAATAATGTGAATTTAGCACGTCATTAATTGAAAGTAAATATAGAGCAGGCATGAAATCAAAAATCAAAACATTTGCCTATAAAAATTAATAGAAGTTGGCCAGGTGGAACTTAGTGACACCTTGTGGCAGGCGGCTGGTGAAAGTCCCACAAGGTTTTATTAGAAATAATATAAATAAAATATAATTATTGGGAAGTTGTTATAGACTAACAGGTTAGCGGCAACAGCCGCAACTACCTTTTGGGTAGTCGCATGCCAGTGAGGGTGTCACCAGAAGTGCCACTATTCTTCAGTTGCCCCCGGAAGTGCTACCAGAAGGGCCACTATTACATCCAGTTTCCACCAAAAGTGCTACTACCAGATGCCGTTGCAACAAATTGAGTACGGCCCTGCAGAATTACTACTTGCATGTGACAGGATAAATTTGCCCCACGAAAAATATATCCCCAAGACAGTATCCTAATTCTGTGAATATCTATCAAGTCTGAACCAGCAAGACTTAAATTCCTGATAAAATATGTGTGTGATGTCCATCCAAGTCTATCTAGCCTTTACACCTGGGGCCTTGCAGAGGCACCAACAGGCCCACTGTGCCCAGCTCATGGTTCCATGGAGCACATTCTGAGCTGTTGCCCTAAAGTGCTAAGAGAGGGGAGGTACACGTGGCAACATAACCAGGTGTTAAAGGCAGTAGCAAACACCATCTGCACTGGAATCCAGCAGTCAAAGCATCAGTCTCCATTGAGGAACAATATCTGTTAGGGCAGAAGAGAAAGCTCGGGGAGAAGGTAAGGCCACAACTGGACTGCTAGCCATGGCCCGTTATTGTGGATGGAGGGCCTGCTGGGAGCCCATAGAAGTGGGCTGCAGGGGCTTCCTAAGTCAAACGGTGTACCAGGCATTCAGGCTCCTTGGCATCAGAGGGTTGCCAGAGAGAAGAGCCACCAGAACCATCTCTCATGATCTTGGCCCTGATGGCTGGCCTAATTGCTCACTCCATTCACCTGTCTTACTCTGCCCCGTTGTTCATTACTCCTCATCTAATCCACCTGCTGGTGCTTCTATCTATACGGCTTAGTCCCA